ATATATATATATATATATATATATATTGTCATGCTTTTGGCCTGATTTTTTTTTTCGCACTTTCATTTTGGATATAACGTGAATTCGGTGTTATATACCATATATGAAACAACTTTATCTTCGCGATGGTTCTTCGCGAGTACCATGGCGATGTATTTCGAAATTTTCATGGAATAACAAGGTCCATGTGTGCATTTGAATACGCTCTTCCAGCTCAAGTCTCGGAGCTCTAATATTAATGTTCTAATTTATTGGTGAAATTCGTAGAAACCGAATTAGAAGTAGAGACTCCAGGATCTCACTTATGCATGTATAATCATGGTAAATGACGTAAAACAATTAGCTCCAAGCCTTACAGAGCACCTTAGCAAGCTCCGGCATACGAGTTGAACTTTGAACCACTTGTTTCAGTGTACATCCCTGCACTTGCGCGCTTTGAACCGTATCGACACCGATGCTGCAGTCTAGCAGAAATCGGAGTACCTCTTCACGTGTACCGTTGTCTAATTTACATATTGAAACGACAGCGTCTAGGTCGTCTGGACTCTCGAACATCATTGTGTCCCCGTGGAGCGGAAGAGGGTCTGTCGCTTGATACGTGGAACGCCCTGAGTTCCCACTACCACTGTCATCCTGGTCTGTTGCTATATTTGAATTAGTGGAACTACTCTCTGAAGGACATATGGTATCATTACGGTGGAACAATTTCAATATCACATTTGATTTTGTGAAACAGATTCCTTCCATCGCATACTCTAAAGTGAGCTCTATCGTGACTGGATAATAGAACATCTTCAAACACACGAGGAACTGCGCGCCTTCTATCTGCAAACAACATCTCTCGATTTGTAAGCCAGTGTCTCCTATACTTTCCTCGCACCGATCTCGTTGTACGTTGAATACTTTCTCACCATATGGTGTGTTTTCGATTGCTGGTAAAGGTTTCCACTGAAGAACGACACCTCCTGAAGAAGCTCGTCGCAAAGGTGCACCGGCGTTAGAGAAATCTGGTTCTTGATATACTTGATGTTCCATATTTTGTGCTGGCAAGGTGACAAAGAACGTAGATATGAATAATTTGTTAAATAGCGTGACAACGCTGATTTGAATCCCTTCTGACATCAGTCATTTGCATATAGAAAGACACAATGCAATTTTTAAAGTATATTGGAAGGCGTACGCCTGTTGCTGGTCACGCGCTATGCAGTCTGCCCTTGTGGACTGCCGTTGACACGAATGGTTGTGTGTGGTGAATAGCCTTCACATATTTATATTTATGTAATGTATAAATAAAAATGTAACACCGATTTGCACTCTCTACTCTTTCTACTAAATAAATATAGAGCAGTAGTAAAGCGGAAGCGGAGAAGCCGGAAGGTCGTGTGGGAATTGGCATTTGGTTGGGAACATATTTGCTCAACAGTCAACAGTCAAAGAGTCAACAGGCAACAGTCAACAGTCAACAAAGGTTGTAAGGTATCTATATAAAAATACATATTAGTGGAAAACGAGTGCACGTTTTTCAGAAGTGAAGTGTGAGGCCTGTGGTCTATGGAGTGTGGAGTGTGGACTATGGGGACTGGTGAGAGGTCTGAGGAGTAAGGACTCGTGGAGTGTGAACCTTTGGCCCTTCGCTTTGTCTCTAAAAATGTAAACGATTTATTCTACTACAATTTTACATACACCCTTATTGACTTCTTGCTTTTTTTTTATTTGTAAGAGCAAATACGTATTTTAGTCCACCCTCTCAGAGAATTTTAGAGAGTCCTGCGGTTCTTACCCTCATCAGCCAGCAGTCTCAGGACAGGCAGGTCCCCCTTGCTGACAGGCTGACAGTGACCGTCCCACTCCCTCATAATTTCTTTTTTAAGAGTAGAGTAAAATAAAGACAGAGTATATATATTGTATCAAGAGTAAACAAAAAAAAATTGTTAGACGACGACTTGCACGATGTCACGGTAATACTGTATACAATATACATAGGACGTAGGTTTTCTGTTTCCATGTAAAAATTATAAATAGATCCATCGGTCGCGTCTTCACACTTCCGGGGCAAAGCTCTAGACTCTCAGCCTTCTTTTTTTTTAAATATACCCGGCAAGTCAGGGACTCAGGGGTGGCAACCTCAAATCTACGAAGTTCTGTTCCCCACTGTGGCTCTATTCGACGGAAAAATGCGTTATATCCGCCATTTTATTGAAATATGGATAGTTTTAGACCTATTTTATATCTAACACGTCCTACTTCCCGCAAGAAGGGTGCACATAGACTAATTCCCAGGTCATTTTATCACCATAATTTGATCGTAGAATCGGGGAAATAGGACAAAATATAGATGTACCTAACTTTTGACTGGATCATACTAAATAAGGGTCGGTCCTGCCCTCGAATTTGAAAAAGAAATGAAATATAAAATATGAAATTTCAGAGCCCGAATTTCAATTTTAGGCATATGGCAGCGAGACCAGTCCCACCGCTGATTTTCAGGAATGAAATGAAATGAAAAATACATAAAATATTTCATACTGAATTTACAATATATATCCTTCATTTGTTTTTTTCCACAAAACCAAAATTAACAAGAATGAAATTCTTTTGGCGGGTTTTTTGGCGGTTTTTTGAAAACTACAATATGCAACCCAAAAAAACCCCTAAGACAACCAATAGGATCACAATTTCACTCATATTTCATTTTTCATTTCATTTTTCACTATTTATCTTCCAACTGCGCAGGTTGAAAAAAGAAGTTAAAAAATTTCACTGCGGAAATGAAATGAAATTCATTTTTTGTGAAATTTCAGCGAAATTTCACTGAAAGGCAGGACTGACCCTAAATAAATACATTTGTATGTACTTCCAGCGAGCTATCTGCTATAAAATACCAGGAATTCATTTCTATCTACTTTGCTCATCAATATACCCCAAAAACAAGGCCCGAAAAGGGTGATTTGAAGACAAAATCACCCTTTTTGGGTTCTTTGGAGACGTCCAGAATATAGAACCATCTGAATTTTTATACATAAATATTTATCACTGAAAGCGTAAGCTTGTAAGTCCCTCCAGACTTTATTGCATTTTAGCCCGTCTGTCTGTCACGCTATTTGAGTATATAAAGACCCCTATCTAGATTCGCGTTCGGTACGAAAATGCTAATAAAAAGGCCCCTTCGAAATAAGCAATATCAACCAATCAGAATTTTTAAAGTTGGCAGGCGTGTATGCGTATGAAACGTAAATATACAATCTGTAACGGATATAATTAGGTTAAAATGTAAAAGGCCATTTTCTGGGGTAATGTAAAAGGCCAATTTTTGGGTAATAATTGGCAGTACATGTAACGTAAGTGGAATCAGGTTTTTTTCATTAAAAAAAACCAAGTGTGCCCCTTTTTTTTTCAAAAAACCCAATCTGTATCCTAAACTAATAGGAGCCGAAAACAAAAAAAATGGCTTTAGGAGATGGGAGATTATTACAATCTCATTGACAGATAGACAAATTAAATTCTTCATATTGACGAGTAATAAACGTACGCTTAATCTCGTCTCGATCGGACTATTGGTTCAAAAGTTGTCACGTATTTCATTTTGTACCAGAACTGGGTCAATCTAGAAAACCTAACAGACCCTTCTGGCAATATAGCATGTCACTTTAATGGTCTATGGCGGGGTATATGTGCGCGTATAGCGAGTCTGGACGTGTATTTCGGGTACCTCATATTCTATCTAGTACCTTTTATACCAGTGAGAAGATGAGGTACCCAAAATACAAGTCCAGACACGCTATACACGCACATATAACCCTCATATACTATTTAAGTAGTATGCTATGACCAGATCTGTCTGAAATTAATGAGTCATCCAACAGAAATGTCGTATTTGCTCTATGTAAATATTTATGTTTCATGATTACCAATGCACATTACACAATTTACACTTCAGACTACAGGGAATGATTTGCTCGTAAAATATTACTATTTTTCATTTATAAAAATCATCCACAATTCACAAATATCGACGAAGTAAGTATCCGAATCACTTCAATTTTTCACAGGTTGGAAAACCCAACGCGTACATAAATGATTCATTTCCTAAACATAAGACGCCAACATGCAAATATGTTTCTCTGATGATACGACACCTAAACAGGTTGGTAATGGTTGCGTGTACCCAAATGAATCGCTTGCTAAAGATCAGGCGGATGTACGAGTTCACAGACTCAATAACAACACACTACTAATAAAACCTAAAAATGTACACCATACGTGCTTTCCTAAAATGATTGCGTATGCGAAGTCATCTCGTGTCCATCAAGGTTACAACTTAGCCAATAAATTGCGTGCTAGTATAGCAAAGATATAGGATAACGTTCATGATAAACTCATATTAAAGCATCCAGTAAAACAACAATCAACTAAACAAACTCGGTCACGAAAACATCGCACTAATAAACAAAATTTACTCAGATAAATACGTCAACAACAACGTAGACAGAGTATGAACGATGAACAAATCAAGATAAAAGACGCTCACAGTCATGCTCGTGCACGTATTCAATATTCAGAGAAAATAGAGAAGGCAATTAATATTAAAGATCCGCAATCTCATACCGTATATCGTAAACAAATACCGGAATGGGTGACTGTGATGAAAAGGAACCATAATACAAGGCAGCATGCCCTTGCTTGTGCGAAATTGTCATCACGTGTGACATGTTCAAAAGGTGAACAATATAACTTTAAACCAATTACGATAGAATTAATCAAGAACTGTGTAAAACATTATGCTGATAAAAGGTGCAGTGTAAAAGCTGTGCTTCATGTGGGCATTCCCAATTGCAGAGTCCATGCGAAAACTCGTTCAAAATCCATAGTAATATAAATGATTTTATGACTGTAATTGTCAGTTTGTCAAATACTCTATTTTTTTTACTCAGAGTACATTTAAAATTCTCAATTTCTCAAATTGATAAATTGTCAGATGACGTTTATTTATTTTCATAAACCCGAAACATTGTACAATTTTCCAAGTTTATCTCAGATATTCTATTTCACAGATTTGAGATGAGTTTCCAGGAAAACAAAAACTTGTACTACCAAGTTGAAGCATACAACCTTGAAAAATTGGGGGGGAGTATTACCGGATCACCAATGAAGGTCCAATACAAGCGTAGTAAAACCATACGAAGCTTGTATTGGACAACATAAACCATAACATAAAATGTAAATGGGTTTTGCCTTAAAAAGTTTTTTTTCCCCTGTTCATGAATTAGTCATGATAAAAATAATTCTTAGTATAAATGCCCTGAGCAGGCACCACAATAAAGCACTGATTCTAAGCTCTTACAATTGACAGTCTAACAACAAACAGTTAAATACTATACATCTACCTCTTCTAACAGAGCTTACAAGCAGCTGCAGCAATTTACTCGCGTAGTTTATTTTATTGAGGATCATTTAAAAAAAAGGCAAATTTGATAAAATCCATTCTAGTTGGCATACGGTACTTTTTAAAAACAGTATTTTACAAAAAGAACAGAAAAAGAAGAAGAAAAGATGGAATGAGTAAACACTTCTACTGACCGATGACGTAACTTCCGTTCGACCGCCTTCGGTGTGTGTTGTGCTTTGTATAACGCGAAGATTTCTCACACATCCGTCCCAAGGTCGACAAGCGCCGCCCAAGTTTCTGACGGTATAGGGATAATATTATTTATTTCAAAAATGGCAAGTATTTATGATACAATGTATGAACATATGGTATGGCTCTCATAGTCGCTGTAGTGGTTCAGGAACGATTGATGGGAAGAAGTGGTCAGTAAATTCCCGTTTGAAGCTTGGGCCAAGTGAGTCGACAATGGAAGATATGTGCTGAGTCAATTCGGGCCGGTGTTGACAAAACACTGTTACTATCGAATGTTCCATATATTCGCTTGCTGACCTACTAAGTAGAGTACCCATCTCTGTGGTACGGATCGGGTCTGTGCCGTGTAGTGCCGCGGAATTGGTTAATGCAGAGTACGAAATACCCAGAAGGACCAGGATATCCGTCATAATCCGGTCGAGAAGCGAGGATGGAGGTAAACCAATGCCGCACCAGACCACGGATGAATACGGTATGTATTGG